TCTGACAAAGTGACAGTCTATCTCAATATGTTTGGTCCTCTCATGAAAGACTGGATTTGAAGCAATGTGCAATGCAGCTTGATTATCACAAATAAGTGTCATTGGTCTTGCTTCTTCAATTTGAAGTTCCTTGAGCAACTGTTTTAACCAAATAAGTTCACATGTTGCCATTGCCATCGCCCTATACTCTGCCTCGGCGCTTGATCTTGCAACTACATTTTGTTTCTTACTTTTCCAAGATATAAGGTTTCCTCCAACAAGTACACAATACCCAGAGGTGGATCGTCTATCAATGGGTGACCCTGCCCAATCAGCATCAGAGTATCCAATTATCTGGGTATGTCTTTTATCCTCATACACAAGACCTTTTCCTGGAGCACATTTGATGTATCTCAAAATCCGGATAACAGCATCCATATGTTCCTGACAAGGGGAATTTAAAAACTGGCTTACCACACTGACTGCAAAAGAAATGTTCGGACGAGTGACTGTGAGATAATTCAACTTTCCAACCAATCTCCTATACCTTCCTGAGTCAGATAGAGGCTCCCCCTGATTGGGTAGTAATTTAACACTTGGATCCATAGGAGTATCGGCTGGTTTAGCATTTAACAAACCTGTTTCTTCCAAAATATCCATAGCATATTTCCGCTGAGAAATCACCAAACCATCTTTAGATTGGGCTACTTCAATACCCAAGAAATAACGAAGTTTACCAAGATCTTTTGTTTGAAATTGTTTTGAGAGATGTTTCAACTGGAGTATTCCCTGCTGATCACTACCAGTTATGACAATGTCATCTACATACACAATAAGATAAATACACCCTTGGGGTGAGTGACGATAAAAAACAGAATGGTCAGCTTCACTACGGATCATACCAAACTGTTGTACTACAGTGCTGAATCTGCCAAACCAAGCTCTCGGAGATTGCTTAAGACCATAAAGAGACCTGTGTAGCCTACAAACCATATTCGATGACTCCCCCTGAGCAACAAACCCAGGTGGTTGCTCCATATATACTTCCTCTTCAAGATCGCCATGTAAGAATGCATTTTTGATGTCAAGTTGATGAAGAGACCAATGTCGAATGGCTGCAATGGCTAGAAGAAGTCTAACAGATGCCATCTTGGCTACAGGTGAAAAGGTATCACCATAATCCAACCCAAAAATTTGAGTGTATCCTTTGGCTACTAAGCGAGCTTTAAATCGATCAATCTTGCCATCTGGATCAACCTTCACTGTATAAAGCCAACGACAACCTACTAAAGATTTTCCATGGGGTAGAGGAACCAGTTCCCAGGTACCACTACTTTGAAGAGCACACATTTCATCAATCATTGCTTGCCTCCACTCAGGGTGAGATAATGCTTCACTTGGAGTTTTAGGAATAGAAACAGAAGACAAAGAAGACAAACAAGTATACTGCAAAGGGGAAAGACGATGATAACATAAATCAATATAATGTGGAGAAGGATTTCGTGTTTGACGTATACCTTTTCGAAGGGCAATCGGAAGATCAGACTCAGGTTGCAGGATCGAATCCGGTGATGGCAGGGACAGGTACAACTTCAGGGACAGGTATGACTACAGGAACAGGTACAACTTCAGGGACAGGTACGACAGACTTTGGGTGACGACGCTGATATGTTTGAAGTGGGCGAGTGGGGGGGTCAACCGTAGGGGTAACTAGTGGGTCAGGTTCCCTAGAATGATGGGGGATAATGAAAGATGGGACTTCCGGAAGAGGTGTGGGAATACTTTCCCGTAGAGGTTCTGTAGTTACTTGGCTGGATTCAAAATATGGAACAGACTCGAAGAAGGTAACATCGGCGGATACGAGGTATCGTTGTAGAGTATGTGAGTAGCAACGATAACCTTTTTGGGATCGATAATAGCCAAGAAAGACACTTTAGTGATCGAGCTGATAGTTTATCAAGATCAGGGGAGAGATTGTGTACAAAACACGTTGACCCGAAGACTCGAGGAGGAATTGGGTGGAGTGGAGAGTTTGGAAACAGGATTGAATGAGGGATTTTATTATTAAGGACAGATGAGGGCATGCGATTTATGAGGTAACATGTTGTGAGCACCGCATCTCCCCAAAACCGGAGAGGAACATTACCATGGAGAAGTAGTGTCCGAGTGGTTTCTACGAGGTGCCGATTTTTGCGTTCGGCTACCCCGTTTTGTTGGGGTGTATGAGGGCAAGATGTTTGGTTCAAAATACCATTGGATGACATAAATGTTTGAAATTGTTGGGATAAATATTCACGTGCATTGTCACTTCTTAGGGTACGAATAGATAAATCAAATTGGGTTCTTATTTCTCGATAAAATTGTTCAAAAATAGAAAACAATTCAGACCTGTTCTTCATTAAAAATAACCATGTGCAACGTGAAAAATCATCAATAAAGGTTACAAAATACCTAGACTCAAAAGTAGACACGGTACGCGAGGGACCCCAAACATCGGAGTGGACTAAAGAAAAAGGGGACGCAGTCCGTTTATTGACTCGATCGGAAAAGTGACTACGAGTATGTTTCCCTAACTGACAAGACTCACAATGTAAAGTGGATAATTTAGATAAACTGGGCACCAACTTTTGTAGCTTGGGAAGACCTGGATGACCTAACTGCGCATGTATAATGAGTGGAGAATCTGTGGTGGAGCATGTGGTAGATGACGTAGAGAAGTAGTAGAGGCCTTGAGACTCACATCCGACGCCAATCGTCTGTCCCGAACTCCGATCCTGCAGAGTAACATTACTATTAGTAAAGGTGATAGAACAATTAAGGGAACGAGTTAAACGACTGACTGACAGTAAATTAAATGGGCAATTAGGTACATAAAGGACAGAAGTAACAGAGAGAGACGGTAAAATTTGAACAGTACGAATCCCTTGGGATCGGGTTTGAGAACCATTTGCTGCAGTTATAATAGGCAAGAAACCAGAGGTAGAGAGGGAGGAAAAAAGACCTTTATTACCAGTAACATGATCAGACGCACCAGAGTCAAGGACCCAAGGACCAAGAGGAGATGATTGAGAGAAGCAAACAGATGAATTACCAGTGTGTGCAACCGAAGCAGTGGAACCAGAGATTTGATTAGTCTGACACCATCTGAGAAAATCTTCGTAGCTTGGCGTAGGGTTCTGAATAGAAGGTGAAGTCTGCATAGTTTCTGAGTTATCACTTTGAGCTGCATTTACCTGGCGTGGGGGTTTGCCATGTACCTTCCAACAACGGTCGATAGTATGTCCAAGCCGGTTACAATGGTTACACTTGGGACGAGGTTTGGAGTTGGATGACCCTCCTCGAGGACGACTCTGATTGTTGCCCAGAGATGCGAGGGCAGCAGTGTCACCTGGTGTAGCAACAGTAGATGGAGGGGAAACCGGACCAAACGCATGAGGTGTAGCCAAGCGCAACAGTTGTCACTAACTGCATCATAGTTAGGAACAGTAGTACCTGATAAAATCTGGTTACGAACGGAGTCGAGTTCGGATGGTAGTCCTTTAAGTGCCATCACCATGAAAAATTTACTCTGTTGTTCGGCATGAATTGTTGCGTCTTTTGCGTACGGCATGAGGGTTGCGTAACTTGCTTTCAAAGCATCAAGGTTACTCAGATAGGTTTGCATATCCATATTTTCCATCTTTAGTGTGTCGAGTTTGAGGATGACACTGTATAGACAATGAACGTCGTTGGAGAAGACTTTCTTGGCCTTTTCCCAAACTTCATAGCAAGTGGAGAAGGCTTGATACCGTGCTTGGAGGTTAGGTGCTATAGAGAACCATAACACGGTAAGGAGAGAGGCATCTGTTTTCTTCCATTTAGCAAGTTTGTCGGGGGCAACATTAGTCAATTGTGTGGTTAGGTGATCTTCATATCCCTGACCACGAAACCACATATCGACAGCACACGCCCATATGTTATAGTTTGTTGATCCAGTCAATTTTTCACATGGGATAAGAGGAACTTTAGTAAACGAGTCTCCCATAGCTTAATGACACAAACAACCGGGGTTGCTTGCACTGGAGCACCGTTTTCCGTGAGTCGGAAAGTAAAACAGAGGCCGGATCTGGAATGGGTGAGGAGAGGTGAGTAGATCAGCAGAAAAACGGTCGGAATCAGCCGTCGGTCGCGCTGGGGCAGCAGCGGGAAAAAGGGGCTCTAGGGCAGCAGCGGGAAACGAATTGGGAAAATCGGTACGGATTGGGAAAATCGGTAATCGGTGGCGGCAAGGCGGTTACGGGAGAATTTTGAAAAGTGAGAGGCAAACCGGAGTGACAACACGGTTTGCCAAAAAAAAATTATTTTTTTTTCTCACCGGAAGACAGTAGGTCAACTGGGTATGTCTCTTGTTAATAGGCTCTGATACCATGTTGAAATACAAGAGACTGAGAGACATGAATAAACCGTGTGTTTTGAAAAGCACTACGGAGACATTATTATATATAAATAGATTACACCTAATTACATAATATAGTCGATGTGGGACTATTCTATATACAAATATTCTTAACACTTTATATATATATTTACAAATATCAACACCCTCTAAAAGGATTATCTAATGTGGCAAGAAGGCTTCTGCAGTATTAGAATAGAAAGTTTGTTACAATCAAACACTTATGGAAAGTCTGCGCAAAAAAATGCACAAGCTTTGTCAAAAACAGAGATCCCTGAGTCAAGAAGAACTAATATATGCTTAGTAAAAGTTATGGAATTAACATTCTGAAATTAATCGCACAAAACCAAAGTTTTGGATTTTTTATTATTCTTTTACAGAATACAGATGAATTTCTTTCAACCTCATTGGTTCTTAGAGAAAATTGACTTATGAAGCATGGATATCAGAACACGAAACCGACACTGATACGCTGGCACCGGTAATAATTTGAAAAAATAAATAAATTAGACGTAATCACAAATGTCGGTGTCGGTTTCAGACACGGACACGGATACAAACACACCATTTTACAGAGGTATCAGTGCTACGGAGAAATTGACGTGCCATGAGAACATAGTATCCTAGATCTCAACATCATTCCTGAGCCATCACTAGTGATTTGGAAGCATAAGCGTAACCAGTAAGGGCCAAACTGTTGGGAAAACACAAACAGAAATTTCATTTTCAATTTACAGATATACAGACACATGCTCTACCAAACCTTACTGTTGAAATACAAGAGACTAAGAGACATGAATAAACCGTGTGTTTTGAAAAGCACTACGGAGACATTATTATATATAAATAGATTACACCTAATTACATAATATAGTCGATGTGGGACTATTCTATATACAAATATTCTTAACACTTTATATATATATTTACAAATATCAACACTCCCCCTCAAGCTTGAGCATATAAGTCAAATGCACCAAGCTTGTTACATATATAGTTAGTTCTGGGGCTTCGTAGGGATTTTGTAAACACATCTGCCAATTGATCATTAGAGTTGACAAAGCTTGTGACGATGTCGCCTGACTCGATCTTCTCTCTGACAAAGTGACAGTCTATCTCAATATGTTTGGTCCTCTCATGAAAGACTGGATTTGAAGCAATGTGCAATGCAGCTTGATTATCACAAATAAGTGTCATTGGTCTTGCTTCTTCAATTTGAAGTTCCTTGAGCAACTGTTTTAACCAAATAAGTTCACATGTTGCCATTGCCATCGCCCTATACTCTGCCTCGGCGCTTGATCTTGCAACTACATTTTGTTTCTTACTTTTCCAGGATATAAGGTTTCCTCCAACAAGTACACAATACCCAGAGGTGGATCGTCTATCAATGGGTGACCCTGTCCAATCAGCATCAGAGTATCCAATTATCTGGGTATGTCTTTTATCCTCATACACAAGACCTTTTCCTGGAGCACATTTGATGTATCTCAAAATCCGGATAACAGCATCCATATGTTCCTGACAAGGGGAATTTAAAAACTGGCTTACCACACTGACTGCAAAAGAAATGTCCGGACGAGTGACTGTGAGATAATTCAACTTTCCAACCAATCTCCTATACCTTCCTGAGTCAGATAGAGGCTCCCCCTGATTGGATAGTAATTTAACACTTGGATCCATAGGAGTATCGGCTGGTTTAGCATTTAACAAACCTGTTTCTTCCAAAATATCCATAGCATATTTCCGCTGAGAAATCACCAAACCATCTTTAGATTGGGCTACTTCAATACCCAAGAAATAACGGAGTTTACCAAGATCTTTTGTCTGAAATTGTTTCGAGAGATATTGTTTCAACTGGAGTATTCCCTGCTGATCACTACCAGTTATGACAATGTCATCTACATACACAATAAGATAAATACACCCTTGGGGTGAGTGACGATAAAAAACAGAATGGTCAGCTTCACTACGGATCATACCAAACTGTTGTACTACAGTGCTGAATCTGCCAAACCAAGCTCTCGGAGATTGCTTAAGACCATAAAGAGACCTGTGTAGCCTACAAACCATATTCGATGACTCCCCCTGAGCAACAAACCCAGGTGGTTGCTCCATATATACTTCCTCTTCAAGATCGCCATGTAAGAATGCATTTTTGATGTCAAGTTGATGAAGAGACCAATGTCGAATGGCTGCAATGGCTAGAAGAAGTCTAACAGATGCCATCTTGGCTACAGGTGAAAAGGTATCACCATAATCCAACCCAAAAATTTGAGTGTATCCTTTGGCTACTAAGCGAGCTTTAAATCGATCAATCTTGCCATCTGGACCAACCTTCACTGTATAAAGCCAACGACAACCTACTAAAGATTTTCCATGGGGTAGAGGACCCAGTTCCCAGGTACCACTGCTTTGAAGAGCACACATTTCATCAATCATTGCTTGCCTCCACTCAGGGTGAGATAATGCTTCACCTGGAGTTTTAGGAATAGAAATAGAAGACAAAGAAGACAAACAAGTATACTGCAAAGGGGAAAGACGATGATAACATAAATCAATATAATGTGGAGAAGGATTTCGTGTTTGACGTATACCTTTTCGAAGGGCAATCGAAAGATCAGACTCAGGTTGCAGGATCGAATCCGGTGATGGCGAGAGCGTCGGAGGAGAGTCCGTAGTGACCTCAGGGACAGGTACAACTTCAGGGACAGGTACGATTACAGGGACAGGTACAACTTCAGGGACAGGTACGACAGACTTTGGGTGACGACGCTGATATGTTTGAAGTGGGCGAGTGGGGGGGTCAACCGTAGGGGTAACTAGTGGGTCAGGTTTCCTAGAATGATGGGGGATAATGACAGATGGGACTTCCGGAAGAGGTGTGGGAATACTTTCCCGTAGAGGTTCTGTAGTTACTTGGCTGGATTCGAAATATGGAACAGACTCGAAGAAGGTAACATCGGCGGATACGAGGTATCGTTGTAGAGTATGTGAGTAGCAACGATAACCTTTTTGGGATCGATGATAGCCAAGAAAGACACACTTTAGTGATCGAGGTGATAGTTTATCAAGACCAGGGGAGAGATTGTGTACAAAACACGTTGACCCGAAGACTCGAGGAGGAATTGGGTGGAGTGGAGAGTTTGGAAACAGGATTGAATGAGGGATTTTATTATTAAGGACAGATGAGGGCATGCGATTTATGAGGTAACATGTTGTGAGCACCGCATCTCCCCAAAACCGGAGAGGAACATTACCATGGAGAAGTAGTGTCCGAGTGGTTTCTACGAGGTGCCGATTTTTGCGTTCGGCTACCCCGTTTTGTTGGGGTGTATGAGGGCAAGATGTTTGGTGCAAAATACCATTGGATGACATAAGTGTTTGAAATTGTTGGGATAAATATTCACGTGCATTGTCACTTCTTAGGGTACGAATAGATAAACCAAATTGGGTTCTTATTTCTCGATAAAATTGTTCAAAAATAGAAAACAATTCAGACCTGTTCTTCATTAAAAATAACCATGTGCAACGTGAAAAATCATCAATAAAGGTTACAAAATACCTAGACTCAAAAGTAGACACGGTACGTGAGGGACCCCAAACATCGGAGTGGACTAAAGCAAAAGGGGACGCAGCCCGTTTATTGACTCGATCGGAAAAGTGACTACGAGTATGTTTCCCTAACTGACAAGACTCACAATGTAAAGTGGATAATTTAGATAAACTGGGCACCAACTTTTGTAGCTTGGGAAGACCTGGATGACCTAACTGCGCATGTATAATGAGTGGAGAATCTGTGGTGGAGCATGTGGTAGATGACGTAGAGAAGTAGTAGAGGCCTTGAGACTCACATCCGACGCCAATCGTCTGTCCCGAACTCCGATCCTGCAGAGTAACATTACTATTAGTAAAGGTGATAGAACAATTAAGGGAACGAGTTAAACGACTGACTGACAGTAAATTAAATGGGCAATTAGGTACATAAAGGACAGAAGTAACAGGGAGAGACGGTAAAATTTGAACAGTACCAATCCCTTGGGATCGGGTTTGAGAACCATTTGCTGCAGTTATAATAGGCAAGAAACCAGAGGTAGAGAGGGAGGAAAAAAGACCTTTATTACCAGTAACATGATCAAACGCACCAGAGTCAAGGACCCAAGGACCAAGAGGAGATGATTGAGAGAAGCAAACAGATGAATTACCAGTGTGTGCAACCGAAGCAGTGGAACCAGAGATCTGATTAGTCTGACACCATCTGAGAAAATCTTCGTAGCTTGGCGTAGGGTTCTGAATAGAAGGTGAAGTCTGCATAGTTTCTGAGTTATCACTTTGAGCTGCATTTACCTGGCGTGGGGGTTTGCCATGTAGCTTCCAACAACGGTCGATAGTATGTCCAAGCCGGTTGGTAGAGTGAGGATTACCCCCACTTATAAACACATGTGCATGCCATATATTGTCCGATGTGGGACTCTTAACACACCCCCTCACGCTCAGGACTGGACAACTGAAGCGTGGAAATAAATGGTGGGTGGCCCGATAGCGGAAACCATAGAAGGTGGCCCACCGGATCTTAAACGAGGCTCTTGATACCATGTTGAAATACAAGAGACTAAGAGACATGAATAAACCGTGTGTTTTGAAAAGCACTACGGAGACATTATTATATATAAATAGATTACACCTAATTACATAATATAGTCGATGTGGGACTATTCTATATACAAATATTCTTAACACTTTATATATATATTTACAAATATCAACACTTACAATAACCTAACTCAGTGAACAAACAATCCATTTCATGCAGCAGAAAAACCTCACTTTGATGCATAGAAAAAACAAATTTTTATTTCCTTTTGAAAGCACATTGCTAAATATTTACCTTGCAAAAATAGACAATTTTAACCTTCTTTAGGGCTTTGCAAATTAACCGAACTGGCGAACTCTCAAGATACTGGTTCCTCCTCAGACACTGTGCAGGCACGGACCAAACACTTGAAACTGCCTCACAAATGTCACTGCATGGAGAGCAAGTCCTTTGCTGCAATTTAAGCATTAGTGATTAGGGTTGAAGCACACTTCCCTCATCTACCAGTAGTCTTTGCAAGAACAAACTCCATCTTTGAAGTGGTGATACCTCATCCTATCTCGAACTATAATTACTCGGTCATAAACCTTGGATATGAATTTTGTTGCTTGATGACAATCCGCACAAACTCTTAAATTCTTCACAATGCGAATTGGAGTTCCAGGTTCCATGTTCATCAATCCAAAAGCAATAGCCAACTTCTCACTGTGTACAGAAAGAGCAGTCTCTTTGTCTTCCTCATCATCAATATCAAGCAAAACTTCTGCTAACTCGGGAACATACCCAGCAATCTTCAACTTGCTTATCATCTCATCCAAAAATAAATAAATCTCCCTACTTTGCGGATGTGATCGGTCTCCAACAAGGAATTGATGGAATAATCCTTTCAATTCAATTGAGCTACAACCGGGGATTTTTTTCCTGTCATTACTGTCTCTCAGCGTTCTTGCTTCATTGAATCTACCTGAGGTAGAATATATATTACCTAACAGAATATGACACCCTATATGATCTGGATCAATTTCTTTAATTATTCTACCTATTCTATATCCGCGCTCCATATCTTTATAGATTCTACAAGCATTCAACAATGCTCCCCAAATCGCAACATCCGGAGCCATTGGCATGCTCAAAATCATGTCTTCAGCCTCCATCAAGAGCCCGGAACGGCTAAGTAAATCTACCATACATCCATAATGCTCTAATTCAGGGCTAATTCCATAATCACTAGTCATCAATTCAAAATATAACTTCCCCTCTTTAACCATATAGCCATGGCTACAAGCATTTAATAAGGCAATGAATGTTACTTTGTCAGGAGAAACTTTTTCAAACTTCATTTGTTCAAAGAGATTTATAGCTTCTTCAGGTTTTCCATGCATTGCTAAACCGCCAATCATTGCATTCCATGGCCAAACCTTTCGCTTCACTTTGTGTTCGTAGAAAACACTTGATGCAGATTCTATCTCTCCACACTTTGCATACATATCAATTAGGCTAGCAAGAAGTCTATCGTTCATCCTAATCTTGTGCCTCCGAATGTAAACATGGATCCACTTTCCCTGATCCAATGCAACATGATTTGAACAGGCTGCGAGAGCACTCACCATGGTATATTCATTTGGTTTGACCCCAGCTTGCAACATCTTGTGGAAGAAATCCAAAGCCTCCATAAAACAGGCAGCCTAGAGAGAGAATGAAGTAACTTTAGACAGAGTAAATAGACAATAAAGTTAAAAACAATAAAAATATATAATATACTTTTTGCCGTTGTTATGGAATTTAGATGAAAAGGGAAGAGAAAATAATAAAAATTTCAATCAGAGTGGCCAATCCCGGATAGCGGCACGGAGCAGCCAACCCCAAAAATGGGATAGTGGCATAGCATGTAGCGGGATGGCCGCTATTTGATCATTTTTTGAACAAACTACATGAATAATAATTATAAACATATGAAGTGCAGAGGGAAGAACAAAGTGCAGGGAGAGGTTAGGGAGTAACTTTTGGTTTTTCCTTGGCACTAGTCAAGTGCATAAATGTCGGTGAAAGAAGGTTAGGCTTGAGTCTCTACTCAAATTTGATTGAAAAACCCAAAACTACCCTTAAAAAGTTTTAAATTTAAGGGGTAATTTCAGTTTTCCTGATGGGAAAAGGATAGTGGGACCGCTCTGGACCGGGGGAAACGCTCCTTTCCCGCTACCCGCTATTTACCCTATAGCGACCCTAGAGTGTTTTGCACCACTATGGCTCATCCCATAGCATCTGGCCTCCGCTCCGGTATAGCGAGATAGCACCGTCATTGGCCGCTATTGACTACTCTACTCTGAATATTAATCATAAATAACTTAAAGGTCATGCTAACGAGTGCCCCAGAGGCACTCTTTAAGCATTCCAAATAAAGAAAACATTGCATTGAATACAAGTCTTTTATAAAAATAACATACACTTTATTGTTTAAAAAAGTCAATTATTTTAATTTCTAATGCATTTAATATAAGTATTTTTCAAACAAAATATGCCTTTATAAACTCTTAACAAGTGCCCCGGGAGCACTTGTTAGCATTTCCCATAACTTAATACTAACTTAGTAGTAGCTTCATACAAAAAAATCAACTAATCCATATTTATAGGAATACATAGACTCAATCTTAAATAAATAGGAAAATCATGAAACAAATGATAATAATAAGATATGAAAATTAATCCTAGGAGATAATCTAAGACTCATATGCTACTATTGAGAACAAATTCTAACACTTACAACTGTATGCATGTTAGTATCATTATTTACTTATTTAACATTCTAAACCTACAATACCTGAACATAACCAGCTATTATAGTACTCCATGACACAACATCTCTCTCATGCATTTTATCAAACAATTCCTTAGCTTCAACTATGTCACCGGATCCAACATAAGCAGCAATCATAGTGTTCCAACTAAACAAGTCTTTATCCATAGCCGACTCAAAAACCTTCCTCCCATCCTCAACAAGTCCCATCTTTCCATACATACCAATCAACGCATTTACAACAAACACATTATTATCCAAACCAACTCTCACAGCATGTGAAAAAACCTGCTCCCCCTCCCTCACACACAAGCCATTTCCACATGCACCAAAAGCAAACACAAAGCTATACCGATTTGGAGAAAGACCTGAATCCTGGATTAACGAGCAGAACACTGCAAATGAATCACAACAAGAACGGGGTGACAAGGAATTCTCTTTGATCATGGTGTTATAAATGAATAAGTCCGGTTGAGGAATTTGATCGAACAGTTTGTGGGCATAACTAAGAGAAGCTAAAGCAACATGCTTGAGGAATTTGTTGGCTATAACAAGGTGTGAGATTTGAGCTGTGGTGATTAAGTGTGCATGGGTTTGCTTAATTTGTTGCATGGATTTGCATGAATCAATCAAAGAGCTAAGTTTAAAATGGTGAACAAAATGAAAAGGCTTGGTGATAATCATAGGGGCTTGTGTTTGATACAACCAATACACTGAATTCAAACTTAGAAAATTTATAAATATTTTAATTTTATGTAAAAAGAAAAAAAGAAAATACATTTAATAGCCTACACTCTTAATTTTATTGGGTATTTTCTCACACTATTAAGAAATTAATAAAAGAATATTTTTGGAATAGTCACATTAAATGAATATAAAATAATCTAACTTTTTATATGGACATTTGTGTCAAGCATGTGCTAGAAATCCGGGTATAAAATATTGATAAATTTTATCAAATTAATATTAAAAATACATAATAATTAGAAATATATAAAATAAAAGGTATTTAACAAATAAAAAAATTGGCTTTACATCTGATAAAAGTTTTCATACATTGTGCATTATTTATAGTCAAATTATTCATTAAATAAAAACACAAAATATGTAAATATTGTTGTGATGCATATTTTTTTTATAAGCGATCGTGTATGTCCATTTTTTTTATTACATTAACAAGTATATGATTTTATAAATTTTTTCGTGTGTACATCTGATTAAAAATGATATTATTTTAAACAATTATTAAAATTTAAAATAAGATGATGAATATTCATTTTTAATACATTTTAATATTATACTTTCTCCATTCTTTTGTATATTTCTATCCATTCTTTTGTGAGCATATGTCTTAAATAATTAAATTTTAATTTTAGGTTGCATGGTGATTGTAAAAATGGAGAATATGGATAAGCAAGTGGAAAGAGGTTTAGAAGAAGTCCAAATTATTCAAAGTGTTACGGAAATCATAGACTTTGATGATTATTTGAATAATCAAAACATTCATGCGTAAATTAATATTTATGTTGTGTTTGTTAGATTTTGTGTTGGGGTGTATTGCAAAATTTGAATGAGAAGAAGATGAAAAATGGTGCGATGAAAATTAAACAAAATAAATTCTAAAGCGTGTGTTTACACTAAGTTTTAGGTTCGATTCGCCTCCGCCAATTTAAAAAAATTGGATGCAAATGAGTTTTCTAGAGATTTCTTTCAAGATACTTTGAAAATCTTAACATGAATTGCACATTCACATTAAGCATTTGTATCAACAATATTTTATAAAATAAAGTTCTCTTATTTATTCTCGTGCACTAAAAAATAAAAGAATGACTTAGATATAATTTTTGGTACTTGAAATAAATAATTTTTGTGTATATTTTATGCTTAACAAGTATCTCTATTTATAGAAAAATTTGTATCAATTGGTGAAGATAAATAATATTTCAATGGTTTCCACATGACCATTCGCGAACCATTGTATATCAATAGCAACAAACATGTTTATAAAAAGTTGTGTTGATCTGGTGGTTGCACCTTATGACTACGCACTATCATTATAGGGCCTTTGGATTTATTCTAGACAGTTACAAATTTTGGCCATTTATTTTGTTAATTTAACCATTATTATTTATCAATTTAATATTTTAAAAATTTCTCAAACAATCCCCCGCAATTTTCAAAATATATCTAAATTCATTATTCAAGAAATTTCATGATTTCAAATAAAGGTATCTTACGATTTGAACCATTACTTAGCAAGTTAAGTTTTCACTCATCCCCGAATAGATTGCTAGACAAGCTTTGAACCAATTACTCATTAGAACAAGCATGCATAACTCACACATGAAGTCTCGGTATCATTGATCGAATTATCAATATGACATATTTAATAAGGCCTTGTGTCTCATATCCTTTTCATGAAAATTTAAGAGTCAAGCTCTTGAACTCTATGAAGCGACCACTTCATTCTCATATTAGGTAGACTATATCAGAAATACACCCATAATTATGCATTCCAGCAAACATATGCTATATGTCCATTAAGAGGAAAACCTCATCCTTCCACATTTATTTTATGGTCAAGTACTCTTACCCCTTGGGATGTATCTATTGTCAAATACTTCAATCACTTTAATAGTGTATTTTCATCATTGAATTCAAGACTTAACGTTAATCAAGTATGAGTTGAATTTCTACTATTAATGATTAATTAGATATGAGCTTATTCCACATCCCTAATGATGTCTTCAATTTCTTCAATTATATTCAAAGACATCATATCTTTGTCAATCATTTTGTCAAAGAATTGCAAGATTTTTCAAACTTTAACAAACTTTGAATATTTACTATTTCAAATAGTCATTTCTATGATTATTTTATATACTCTTGATAGTATTTACAACTATCATTAACACATGACATTTTTGTCATTGTAGTACAATTATCACATACAAAATAGATCTATATTCTTGATAGTTTTGATAAACTATCAGCATGACACTTTTATCATTCATTTTGTCATATACACAAATTTTATGTCATTTTTCATTTGCTAGCCCTTTTAAATTGTAGTTTTATTACTTCCACTTAATTATATACAAAATATATTTAATACATTAACCATTTTGACAACCATGATCATACAAATTTGTGATGACTAACTTTTATTTTATATAGTGAGTTCAAACATGTGATTCGTAAAGCCCTAATAAAAATAACACCATAAAATTTATATCTATTTTTTTAAAAATAAATAATTTTCTTACATGAACCAACATATGTATAACAAATTTTATGTGATAAATCTATGTTTCATAGATAACAATGTTTTATGATATATCCAAATAAGAATCATAAAATGAACAATAAACCAACATCATTAATATTTCTTGTAACGTTTCTCTCGATGAACACTTATCAACTTACAACAAGATAAAATATATCCAAATTACTTTTAATATCAAGATAAATAAGAAATAATACTTTCATATTATGATACACATATAATATGAGATAAATCATTTTAAAATTCTTGCATAAACAACAATACAATTGAAATATATTCTTGATATTTTTAAAATGTTATTTACACCATTTTATTTACCAATAAATTTACCGTATATTCAAATTCATGATTCTATTTCTTTTAATTATTATCAAATAATCTCATCCAAAAATAATGCATTATTAATTGAAATAAATTACTTGCACCAAAGAAAACTATTTAACATATATTTTACATTCAAGTTTATAACATAAACCAAACATATTCATAATTATTTCATTTCACATATTTGAATAGTTTATAAATCATGCATGTATAAATTTAATATCACATGTTAAACTTAACATAAATACATATTATTTTCATCATATAATATTATACATGAATTTAAAACATTATATATATATATATATATATATATATATATATATATATATATATATATATATATATATATATATATATATATATATATATATATATATATATATATATATATATATATATATATATATATATATATATATATATATATATATATATATATATATATATATATATATATATATATATATATATATATATATATATATATATATATATATAATCGAATTATTATGTACCTTTCACCATGGTTATGAATAAGAGAGCATGAATTCATTTCTCCATCAAAGTTGCAACCATAAATTAATTACAAAAAATAATAATCGAACCTAAAAATTGTTAGATCTTGTGTTAGGGGTCCTTTGCAAAACTTGAATGAGAAGATGAAAAATGGTACGATGAAAATTGCACAAAACAAATTTCAAAGCGTGTGTTTACACTAAACTTTAAGTTTGATTTGCCCCCACCAATTTAGAGAAAATTGGATGCAAATAAGTTATCTGGCGAATCATCTTTAGGATACTTTGGAAACTTTAACATGAATTGCACATTCACATTAAGCATATCGATCAACGATATTTTACAGAATAAAGTTCTCTCATTTATTCTCGTGCACTAGAAAAATAAAAGAATGACTTGATATAACTTTTGACACTTGAAACAAATAATTTTTGTGTATATTTTATGCCTTATAAGTATCTCTATGTATAGAAAAACTTGTACCAATTGGTGAGGAGAAACAATGTTTCAATAGTTTCAATGTAATCATTCGTGAACCATTGTATATCAATAGAAACAAACATTTTTATTAAAAATTGTGTTGATCTGGTGGTTGCACCTTATGACCACACACCCAATTATTATAGTCTCTGAATCTATTCTAGACAATTACAATTTTTGGTCATTTATTTTGTTAACTTAACTATTATTATTTATCAATTTAATTTTTTGGAAATTTCTCCAACAGTGTTTAACATATAGAATCAGTTTTGGGTGAAAAATGGTATATTTAGAAGATTTTTTGAAGGAGACCATAACAATGCTTACTTTCAAGAGATTGCCAAAGTTCGAAGTGTTTAGAAGAGAATAAATGTTATGGTCACTATTACAAAAAAAAAAAACTATTTTATTTCGATTGAAAAAGAGATTTTACTTTTGTTTGATAGATGAGGTAACGAAGGACAACATAAAAACTCGCCACTTTTTCTCTCAGATAAAGTTCCATAGAGGGAAAAGTTATACTGGTCATGGGTTTGATCTCCAGCAACAACATTTTTTGGATTTTTAAAACTACTCTACTTTTTACCTCGATTGAAAATAATATCCGAGGGATAAAGTCCTATTTACAAAATTTTAGTTTTAACCTGTTTTTTTGGTTTTAATTTGCAAAGTATCAAATTTGTTGGCAAATTCTAAATCTTCCTCCTCATCAACAACAACAACAATAAAAACAAAATCAATATAACCCTTAAATATTAAATTTCAACAACAACAACAAAATCAATAGAATCTTTAAACATTAAATTTCAACAACAACAACATTAACAAATAAACAAAATCAATAAAATAATTAAATACTAAATCTAAACAACAACAAAAAAACAATATTAAACATTTTACTTGATACAACAACTAAAATTAATAAGTTACTTTCATGTTTTCCTAACTAATATTAAACATTTTAAACAAAGAATTACTAGAGAATATATTACATTAAGAAACCAATCTTGAAACATTTTCCTGTTCTTGCGTTTATTATAATTGTTTTCATTATGTTAAGTTTACAGTTCAGCAC